AGCAACTCAGACTAACATTAGTAACACCTCATGGAGGTTTTATTTTATATGTTTGACTATTTTTGTGTGATTATTCACCCTGTAGAATTAATTGCATGAGTGCATGCAATTTTTTATGAATGAGTTTTTTAGCTTTTTAATGGACTTTGTGTATAAAATTGATGTGAAATAAAAACATTTCAATGTTCATTTTGCTATGAGATCGGAATCATTTATGTTCCCTATGAAAGTTTATTTTTAACCCTGTATGTTTCCTCTCCATGGAACGACAGCTGGACATTAGCCATTGGCTATCATCTGACATGTTTATAAACATGTACCCAATCCAATGAACAGAAAAAAACATAGGAAAGTAGGTCTGAGACAGCATAGACCTTATAGTAGGCTACATTAGCCCTTTGAGCCCGAGTGTCCCCCAACTGAGGGACAAACAAGATTAGCAGCAAAAAGCCTAGTTAAACATCCCAAGCTGCCTAAATTTAACAACAAGGTAAATGTGGTTTTGAATTCTAGGACAGCTTTGAGTAAAAGGCAGATATGTGCACACCACAAGACTAAAAACAAACAAAAAAAAAAAAAGACTGAAAATGCATTAATATGCCATTCTTATTGATATCAGATATTTCCATCAAAACTAGTAAATTAGAGAGTATACACTCATCAGATCCTCGGTTTTCACATTATTTTATAAAGACAAATGTATGAGACCATTTTCATGTATTATTTCTACAAAAAATTTAAAGTAAAGAGATTTCAAGTTAAAGAAGTTTTTTTTTTTTTCAAATTGAATTTAATTTTATTGGTATTTCCTGCCAGCAGGAGGCCTCCAGGTCAATCCAGGACAAGCTGGAGGGATTATATCTGCGGGCTGGCCAGGGAAAGACTTGGGGTCCCAGAAGAGGAACTGGTGGAGGACGATGGAGAAGACAGTTTTAGTTTCTTTGCTAGGGCTGCTGCCCCAAGGACCCAACCCCACATAATCAGCTGATAATGAGTACGAGTTAAAATTTCAGCCCACAACTACTAACTTAGTGACTTTGGTTCATATCTCAAAAAGTTTGAACATCACTGCTTTAAGGTGAAAACTCAGCACTTAGTTCCCAAGTAAAAAAAATTATTCAGAAATGCCTCAAGCCTGAGTTTAATCACTGTACTTGAGCTTAGTGGACAATCCTACACCACCTCTGCAGCTCTTATTTCAGCCCATTTGTTTGACCTGCACATAAAGGAGACATAAAATGGATGGTTATGTCAAAATGTGTGCAGCTGTTCATTTTCATTTAATATACAAGTTTTGAGCAAACTCGTCTTTTTGGTTTTGCTGAGAAGGAGGAATGTGATAGGTAATATCCGTCTTATCAGGGAGATTATGCAAAAACTAGGAAATGGCACATTGTGTGGATGCCAGTTCATTAAACAGAGTCGCCTAAAAAATGGAGGGGGGGGGGGTGTTATACTTAAGCCTGATTTATGCTTCTCCGTCTGCGTCAGTGCGGAGACACGCAACGCCATTATCCGTCCTTGCGTAGGGCTCCGGCAGGCACGCAAGTATACGTACGGAGTCGAGCCCACTTTTTTAAACATCCGTCGAACGAAACGGATTACGCAAGCTTGTGATTGGTCAGGACACCGCTGTTAGTTACAGTGCCGCCATTGCAAAGAGAGCCGAGGATAACTAGCGGCAGACACGGAGAAGCTTGAATACCTCGCAAAAAAACCTCTAAAAACATGAACGTTTAATTCTCCCGTGACTGGAGGAGTGAAAAGATGTGCAGCAAGCGTTTTATTTGTGGACGGAAATGACAGGAAACGTGGGTTTAGAGGTGGGGAGCGCACGAAGAAGTGGGAGAATGAGAGACAAATATGTCCGTGTTAAAATCTCTTATATACACAAAAAACACAATATAAACACACTATCTTGGACCGATTCATGACAGGATACCACAGAACAGCGCTACGCCCTCTGTTGTCCTGGCGAGGAATTGCTTTGCAACACTCTCCAGGAGACGGAGAAGTATGAGAGCAAAATGCTTCCGTAAATCCGTGCGTGTCTGTCCCTTGCGGAGCTGACGGGGAAGCATGAACCAGGCATTAGGCGACGTGATAAAGGGTCTATTATCAACACAAGTGATCTGCAAACCAATCAAATCAAAGGGGATCTGTAATCGAAGCCAGGCGGTGAACAAGTTTCCACTTCTTCGCTCTCGTCACGTTGCCTGTAGCTGCAGATGTAGGATGCAGATCAGGTGGAATTTGTGTTTTAGCGAGAAACAGAGAGCGATGAGGTGCCAAGATGGATCCTCTCACGATTGTAATCTCACAAATCTAGCTCGAATCTGGCTACATGGCAAGGTAAGGTCATGTTCACAAGAAGAGCACGCGTATCCTGATAACTTCCCTACAGAAAGCAAACCTGCGGACAGATTTTGGCAGCGGAAACGCTCTTAGACTGACTCTGCTGGTTTAGCATGAATCCAACCTGGATTCTGTGCTTCCATCTCCGTTTGTCAAACCCTTCAGCATCTTATCAGCTCATTCATTTCTACATTCTACTGCTCACCATTCGACCTTCAAATATATCTGTTCGCTTTCTAATACGAGAGTCTGTCACCCCTTCTTCACTCCATCGTCAGAGACACTTAATCTAGTAATGTGCCGGCTGATTAGCATCCACTGAAACTTTTAAAATCAGCCTCAGTCATTTAAATACAGGCAATTGCACCTCAAGTTCCTCAGACTTCTAGAAATGCATCAATGTCGTTCGTGTTATTAGTCGACCTCTATGCTCTGCCATCCTCGCAGGTTAATAAATAGATTAATCTTCAAAGTATTTCAGAATATTTGTTTATCATTTCGTTTCCCTCTCCTCCTGCAAAGACGCGCCGGCTGATTTTCACACGGTTTTATTCAAAAGGCCTCTTAGTTCTAATCACTTTTGACACCTTCCAGGCTCCCGCGTGTAATTTTCTGTTATTGCGTCTAAAACTTGATCTGACTAAAGGTGATGCTTTGCAGAAAATAAACAAAGATTAAGCAGTTCGGTGCTTTGTGTTGCTTGTCTCTGTTCAGCAGAAGATAAGGAGGCCGGCCTTATCTGTCCATCCACTCCCGTCCTAGCTCGGTGGATAACCTCTCCTTTTACACAACCTTTTCTTTAGGAACACTTCTTTAATTTATTTTCACCTACCGCCTCCTTACATTTCATCCAGCTCTCCGTCTTTATCCACTATAATTCCCTCCTCCGCCATCACTTCCAATCCATGACCGTCGTCTTCCCTTCTTAGGTTTCCTGTGCCCGATGGATTCCCTATCCATACAGTAAGCAATCCGATGTGCCAGCTAAGTCAATGAGGCTACACGTGTGGTCATATTAATCTCACTCTCTCATTGTGTACAGACATTAAATCAGTGCTGTCCCTCATCCCACTCAAGGCCAAACACACAAACATGCACACACACACACACCAAAGCATGAGAGGTGTCCCGGTGCTCTGGGCTTGTGATAAATCATCCAGCAGGCTCAATTCAATCTGCAAGCCTTCATGGTTGCCTACGGACCAAGAGCTGCAGCTCGGATGCCTCAAGGAGCAGCAAACCGCCACAACTCTGATCTTTACAAGCTACAACAGCCTGAGGAGAACAATTAGAAGAATTACATTTGTCACAATAGATCTGATCAACTTTCTTCACTTTTTCTTTCTTAAAGGGGCATTATGGAAGTTTGACAGCCAAAACATGTATAGAAATAATAAATTTCTTCTTCATACATTCTCCTGCAATGCCCTGGTCCTGTAGAATGAGCCCTGGCATTTTTACTGTGATTGCCTGTTTTTCTGTAAAATCACAGAAAAAGAGAGATGCTCGGGTCGAGCAGGCTGCTTCATGCGCGTTCACGCTCAGGCATCGCCCGTAGCATTTGCTATCCGTAGCTTTAGCAGCAGAGAGAGAGGCAGTGCCACTTTGTCGCTGTTCCTAATGCCTAGTGACAAAGCTAGCTACATTTCTGAGGACCCTTAGCTACTTTCTGTAGAACTTTCTTCTAGATATTTCCTGCAAATTAGCAACAAAATAGCCATTTTCACTCCGAACCGTTATTTGAACGTTGTTTCAGCTGTCATCAAGGATATAAAAGTTACAGATACGAAGAACGTCACTGGCGCTTTAGCTCACCTAATAAGACGTCGAACTCTCGAGCAGAAGACCTGGGTTTGATTCTGGGTGTGAACATAGTTCATTTAGAGTTTATTTTTTACATTAATGGTATATTTTTTTACAGTAAGATGCCCAAATTTTTATTTGAGACTCGTCGAACGACATTGAATTCACAGATAAAAAAGATGTGGGTTCAACTTTCATTTTGGAACAATTTTTCAAGCAAGGGAAGGGAATGATCTGAGCATGCAGGAGGACTGACCCATCATAAACCTTTGTCGGCTGTGCTGAAGAGAAAGGTACAGAACCAAATTATTTAATTAATTAGCTGCACGTTCTCCTGTCCTCTGTCCTCCGGGCCACACACACACACACACACACACACACACACACACTCACAAGAGACTGTCTCAGCTGTTATTTGCGTTAAGGAGTGTGCACGTACAGCATGTGCTCCTCGTGCACGAGCCTACTATTGAAGCTGCCGTTACGCTTTTGGCCTGAGGGGGCAATCGCGAGCATAAAAATTCAAAACTCTGTAAAGTCCCTTTGAATTGTGCAACTTTAACTTACTAATCTTTATTGTAACATTTCCTAACACGGAACGTCTGTTTGAACTGCAAGTTTCTAGAAAAGCAAAGCCTTTTAAATACAGAAGTTCATATTCCGACTTTAAATTATTCAAATAATTAAAAAATGTCTTTAAAGTTGCATCATTTCTGACATTACTGTGATTTCCTATTATTTCTCTGTTAATTTAATTTATATGTTAATGCATAAAACTCGAAAGGGAAAAAAAATCCAAATTGAACAAGAAATAAATAATAAAAATTCAAATGAGAGCTTACCAAGCAAAGCTGACATGTTCTGGAAAATTCTGAGCAGCTCTGGGGTGATGGCTGGGCTGTTCTCCAAAGTCACCAACCTACACAATAAGAGGACGGGAATGAGGAGAGCAGGCAGCGGGGAAAGTAGAGAGACGAGAGGAAGAAATGGGAGAGGTTGCCAGAAAAGAGTGCAGAAGGCAGAAATTAGAGGTGGCAAAGGAGAATAGGGCGAGATATAAAACAGAACAAATTACAGAGACAGAGAGAAGGAGAACATAGGAATCACAGAGGTGAAAAAACGTAATACATGGAGAAGGAGGTGTTGGAATAGGGATGGAGGAGAGAAAAACAAGTTAGTGTTCTGGTCAGAGAAATCTGATGGGAAAAGGTGTGAAAGTGCTAAAAAATCTGATATGCTGGTGACAAAACTAAGAAATGACATAGTGTCTTACAAAATGAAAAGAAATAAAATAAAATTGTAGGACACTGAGATCAGGAGAATAAAACATGCAGATTATTATACAATCTACATGATAAGCAAGTTTTTATAGCCACTTTAAAAAGGCACCGTGGCGGAAAACAGGGTAACGCCGGGGACACACCGGCCGCCGGAGCGCTGCGAAGCGCCGTGAGGTGAAGCGCTCACGAAACTCGGTCGCTGCTCGCTGCTTCTCAGTTCAGACCAGACGCTTGTTTCTCCGCTCCGGTCGAGGCGCGCCTCGTAGTTTTTCTTTTAACCACTTGGTGTCCTCCATTTCCTCTCCGCCTTTACTCTGCTCTTTTCCTCTACACCCCCCTCCCCCTTGCTGTTTGTGTGTGTGTGAACCTATGGCGTGAACCAGTTGTTAATAGCTGGCCTATGACTTTCTGCCCCTCTGTCCTGTTTGCTCCGGTTGAAAAACACCCAAAACCACACCCCCTTCACGTGGTCACCCACACACACACACACACAAGTTCGCTCTGTGTGTGTGTGTGTGTGTTCGTGTGGTTTTTATGCAGTGTTTGTTTACGAACACATTTGACAATCGCGGAATTGTATTTTGAAATCTTTTAATTTGTTAAATTTACCAGCCAGCCTCTTATGTCTAGGTTTGACTTCCTGCCAGAATTGATGCGGTCCACTCGCGACAAAAATAGAGCAGACGCCGAAACGATCGCTGCACGGCGCAGGCTGAAGCGTGCTGGCGCGTGGCGCTTCGCAACGCTTTGGCGGCCCATGTGGTCTATAGAATAGGATAACAAGGGCGCCGAATGAAAGCGGTCCCCGTTTTGCGGCGCTTCGGCGGCCGGTGTGTCCCCGGCGTAGCACTGCCGCCACGATGTGTCTTTTAACATGATGTGGTGGCGTGGCGAGGTGATGTAATCAGTATCAGCTGATGTGTGAAACTGGAGTGATGCAGAGATCCGGAAGCTGAAAAACAGACCACCAGACAGTTCCCGAAAACTGAGAAGGACAGTCACTTTTGGGAGTGGTTGTGAAAAATCGTAAGGGGCGTGGCTTCAATCGAGATAAAAAAAACAAGCATCCTAGCTAACAGGATGTCTGTGACGGCATGTCGTCAGCACAGGCTCAACCACCTTACACCACCATTGTGTAATCTTTAGTGAAAAACACACAATCACACTACATTACCACCACAGGCTGACCACTTATGAATGGCCAAAGGCTCCCTGATGTCGCCGCAGCTTTGCCTCAGCATTGTTTTTTGAAACAGGCTTATTTTTCATCTTGAGAATATTTTTTGGTTTAAAGTTTAGGAATACCTAAGTGTATTAAAGGTGAGGTGTATTAAAAGTGTTTTAAACTCCGGGTCGGGAGAGAGGTCCTACCTCAAGTGGAGGAGTTTAAGTATCTCGGGGTCTTGTTCACGAGTGAGGGTAGGAGGGATCGGGAGATCGACTGGCGGATTGGTTTGGCGCCTGCAGTGATGCGGACGCTGAGCTGATCTGTCGTGGTGAAGAGGGAGCTGAGCCAGAAAGCCAGGCTCTCGATTTACCGGTGGATCTACGTCCCAATCCTCACCTATGGTCATGAGCTTTGGGTAATGACCGAAAGAACGAGATCGCGGATACAAGCGGCTGAAATGAGTTTCCTCCGTAGGGTGGCCGGGCTCAGCCTTAGAGATAGGGTGAGGAGCTTGGACTTTCGGGAGGGACTCGGAGTAGAACCGCTGCTCCTCCGGATCGAAAGGAGTCAGTTGAGGTGGTTCTGATCATCTGGTCAGGATGCCTCCTGGACGCCTCCCTGGGGAGGTGTTTCGGGCACGTCCTGCCGGCAGGAGGCCCCCGGGTCGACCCAGGACACGTTGGAGAGGTTACATCTCCAATCTGGTCCGGGAACGCCTTGGGGTCCTGCCGGAGGAGCTGGTGGAGAAGGCCGGGGAGAGGACGGTCTGGAGCTCCCTAGTTGGGATGCTGCCCCCGCGACCCGGACCCGGATAAGCGGAGGAAGACGACGACGCTAGAGTAAAAACTCACAATGACCAATTATAATAAAAAATAATTATTTTAAAAAAATTGTTTTAGTGTCCCACACCTTTAAACTAATGACAAAACGGATTAAATCGAGTTTAATGTACGATGTGTGTTTCTAAAGTGAGATAGTTAGCTACAGTTGGTTTGTGGAGCAATTTGAGATAAAATCACCAGAAATGGTAAATGGTCTGTATTTGATATAGCGCCTTCTAGAGTCCTGGAACCCCCCAAGGCGCTTTACAACACAATCATTCACTCATTCACACACACATTCACACACTGGTGGTGATGAGCTACGATGTAGCCACAGCTGCCCTGGGGTGCACTGACAGAGGCGAGGCTGCCAAGCACTGGCGCCACCGGTCCCTCCGACCACCACCAGCAGGCAACGTGGGTTAAGTGTCTTGCCCAAGGACACAACGACAGCGACAGACTGAGCGGGGCTCGAACCTGCAACCTTCCGATTACGGGGCGAGCACTTAACTCCTGTGCCACCGTCGCCCCAACGGTGGCACAGGAGTCGCCCCAACCCCTCAAGATACGAAAGATAGAAACCCCTCAAGATACGAAATGAACATGAAAGATAATGAAAAGGACATAAAGTTAGACAAAAAAGTCCACAGAAAGATAAAAGCAGGAAAGAATGGCAGTGACTCAGTAAACAAGGCGAATGCATTGTCAGGAAGGATAAAAGATGGGCCAGAGACGAAGGACTGGCTTAGCTCCAGAATGAAAGGAACCTTTAGATGCACCAAACATCTGGTCATCATTCTCAAAAGGGAACATATTCTTTTCAGCTAAACTTTCTGGTGACTTATCCTCCCAAAAAAATAAAATAAAATTGATTAAGGCAAGATTAGGGGCCACATAAATAATCAACAAATTAGTTGCCCACCAGGAGTTTCTGCCCGTGGAAAGCCAATTTAAACTAGATCTAACGGTGAGCTCATTAACCACCACTTATCTGCAAAATGTTTGCATCTGGCTTCTAAATATGGAGTCGAGATGAGTCAGGAAATGAGGCTGATATAACAGACAGGGGACTCACAGGCAAATGGCACAACGTAGAGAAGAGGGAGAGTAACAGAGGAAGACAGCAATAGACACAGTATTCATGTGTAGGCGTGAAAGTGAGGGATAAAATGAGATTGCTAAGTGCTTTATAAATTTCTGCCTCGGGGGGGCTTCTTTTTTTCCCTTGCAACTCTTTAATGTTCTGTGTTCTGCATGTTTATCCATACCACAGCTCCAGTCCATCCTCTAGCAAGTAGATGTGTGGTGGCTGGGTAACGTCGGTGCTCAGTTGGATGACAGGAAGAAGGAAAGGGTAAAGGTTCTTGCTCTCTGCCCCAAGGCCCTGACAGAAGAAAAAGATGCAAGAAACTCAATGCCAATAAATGCCAACATGACAGGAAATGCAGACAGGAAGCTTGAAAACTTAAGTACTTTTTGTGCTCCAGTCTAATTAAAGTGCACTGGAGATGACCGGAGCAGCACAATGCAAAGGGATGGATCTATAAAAGTTCAATGTACAACAGCTCTGACATATTGGTTCCCAGTATCTGTCATCGTATTGCTAGAAGTAAGAAATAGTGCCTTTTTGTATCAAAGGTCATTCACTTTGCTGCAAAATACATGCTATGCTCTAGGCAGAAATGGGTATTTGGAGATTATTGTATGTTAATTTAATGACCCCCTTTTAAAATCCTCCCCTTTATAACAGTTTGAGTCCATTAAGTTCAATTATTTGAGAAAAAAAAACACTGCAGCAAAACTGCAGGAACTGAGTCACAGATCATTTGTTGGTCATTTGGATTTTAATGACATTTAAGATAAGTGGCTGAGTAGGGAATGACAAAAATCGTCCTCTGAGAAACGGTTTCTGGTAGGTTTTAAATCTAAATGTGCCAATAATTTTTAATAAATAGACAAATCTTGAATTTATGGTGCACACAAAAACAATTTTTTTTGCACAAACATGAACTCAGGCTGATGGAGTTACCACCAACATAGCCCTGCTTATGAATTATGTCCCTTTTCCCGCTGGAACGTCATTTCCATAGTTTTCACATTTAAACCCAGTGGGCGGTTTCCGCCATATTGGCCGCGTCACAGATCTCGTCACTCCTGGAAAATGCAAAAACGGAGCTTAGAGTGGGAATGTGAGGTTGGGGGTGGGTGACTGACACCCATCAAACTCTGAGCCAATGTAGCTATGAGCAAACTGAGCTAACCCAAGCTAACAGAGGTTGAAGGGTACTTTTAGGTAGACAGCAGTTGAGCAAATCTCTGCTTTCTAGGCTGCAACACTTAAAGAGCAAGTCACCCCCTACCAGATTCTTAATCAACTCCCACTTCCTGTTTGAAAAAATGCAACAAATGCTGTTGCCTAGCAGACCGAGAGGGCGGGGCCACTAACAAATACACACACTCACGACATTGTGACATCATAATGTACCATCTAACATCATAGTGTACCTCTAAGCCAATAGCGATGGCAGATTTAAATTCTAATGCAGTGCTGAGTTTTTGCCTGACGACGGTGCATCGCTGACAGTTTAGGCAGATTATTTAAATTTTTACTAAGACTAACTAAAGTGCCAAATTATTGACTGAACCTGTCTACAGAGCAATTAGACACTCATTTATATAGTTTATCAACAAAAAAAAGTTGATTTGAGGGCGACTTGCTCTTTAAGGTCAGGGCGAGGCTGGGACCTTCCCTGGAGCAAGCAGGGGGGCAAGTATCGCTAGTACTGACGTCTCTCCAGACACATATCAATCAAAATCCTTAATTAGGGGTGTGTCGGATAATAAAACGAGACAATGCTAAACACCAATTGCTGTTTTCAAAGTTTGAGTCCCCACTAGTTGCCACACACTGGTGTGTGTGACATTTGTTCTCCGCATTTGACCCATCCCCTGGGGGAGCAGCGAGCTGCCGCAGTGGCTGCCCTCGGGAACCATTTGGTGATTTAACCCCCCCCCCAATCTAACCCTTTTTAAAGTTGAGTGTCAAGTGAGGTGGCATTGGGTGCCATTTTTAAAGTCTTTGGTATGACCTGACCAGAATTTTAACACCGATTTCCTAGTCTCAGAGCAGATACTTGTACTTCTAGGCCACTGGGAAGTCTGGACCTCCCTGCTTAGGCTACTGCCCCCGCGACCTGACCCCGGACAAGCGGCCGAAAATGTAGGGACTGACGGACGGACTGACACACATACAGGTCCTTCCAAAAAAATTAGCATATTGTGATAAAGTTCATTATCTTCTGTGATGTACTGATAAACATTAGACTTTCATATTTATTAGATTCAGTACACACAACTGAAGTAGTTCAAGCCTTTTATTGTTTCTAATATTGATGATTTTGGCATACAGCTCATGGAAACCCAAAATTCCTCAAAAAATTAGCACAAAATTAGTACAAAAAAAGCCAACCTTCAAATAATTATGTTCAGTTATGCACTCAGTACTTGGTCGGGAATCATTTTGCAGAAATTACTGCTTCAATGTGGCGTGGCATGGAGGAAATCAGCCTGTGGCACTGCTGAGGTGTGATGGAGGCCCAGGATGCTTCGATAGCGGCCTTAAGCTCATCCAGAGTGTTGGGTCTTGCGTCTCTCAACTTTCTCTTCACAATATCCCACAGATTCTCTACGGGGTTCAGGTCAGGAGAGTTGGCAGGCCAATTGAGCACAGTAAGACCATGGTCAGTAAACCATTTAGCAGTGGTTTTGGCACTGTGAGCAGGTGCCAGATCGTGCTGAAAAATGAAATGTTCATCTCCATAAAGCTTTTCAGCAGATGGAAGCATGAAGTGCTCCAAAATCTCCTGATAGCTAGCTGCATTGACCCTGCCCTTGATAAAACACAATGGACCAACACCAGCAGCTGAAATGGCACCCCAGACCATCACTGACTGTGGGTACTTTACACTGGACTTCAGGCATTTTGCCATTTCCCTCTGCCCAGCCTTCCTCCAGACTCTGGCACCTCGATTTCCGAATGACGTGCAAAATTTGCTTTCATCAGAAAAAAAGTACTTTGGACCACTGAGCAACAGTCCAGTGCTGCTTCTCTGTAGCCCAGGTCAGGTTCTTCTGCCGCTGTTTCTGGTTCAAAAGTGGGTTGACCTGGGGAATGCGGCACCTGTAGCCCATTTCCTGCACACGCCTGTACACGGTGGCTCTGGATGTTTCTACTCCAGACTCAGTCCACTGCTTCCACAGGTCTCCTAAGGTCTGGAATCGGTCCTTCTCCACAATCTTCCTCAGGGTCTGGTCACCTCTTCTCGTTGTGCAGCATTTTGTGCCACACTTTTTCCTTCCCACAGACTTCCCACTGAGGTGCCTTGATACAGCACTCTGGGAACAGCCTATTCGTTCAGAAATTTCCTTCTGTGTCTTACCCTCTTGCTTGAGGGTGTCAATGATGGCCTTCTGGACAGCAGTCAGGTCGGCAGTCTTACCCATGATTGCAGTTTTGAGTAATGAACCAGGCTGGGAGTTTTTAAAAGCCTCAGGAATCATTTGCAGGTGTTTAGAGTTAATTAGTTGATTCAGATGATTAGGTTAATAGCTCGTTTAGAGAGAACCTTTTCATGATATGCTAATATTGTCAGATAGGAATTTTGGGTTTTCATGAGCTGTATGCCAAAATCATCAATATTAGAAACAATAAAAGGCTTGAACTACTTCAGTTGTGTGTAATGAATCTAATATATATGAAAGTCTAATGTTTATCAGTACATTACAGAAAATAATGAACTTTATCACAATATGCACATTTGTCTGTGTGTGTGTGTGTGTGTGTGTGAGCGTGCAAAATTCTGCATTATAAGCTCTATGTTGAACCAGGCTGTAAATATGAATACATAGCACTCAAGTCTTTGTCGTTTGTGTAAATGATCAAGACAGAGACAAACTATATAATCTGTATGCTGTAACAAAATCAAATTAGTATAAGGCGGCACACTTGATTAATCTGAGTCCCATCAACTGTGCGCCCCAATGCTTCTCATTTAGTTTGCCAGATGTGTTCTTGTATTATTCTCTCTATGGGAGCTTGTCATTATCACTCAGCATTTCATCTGCCACTATCAAGTGATGCAGCCGCAGCAACAAAGGGGTCCAAATTATACCGAAAGCTGAGGCTGGCTGTGTCAATCTTCAGTGCTTTTGTCTGCAGCTATGAATATATTTTTAATAAAACATGAGTGATACTCATAAAAGTACTTTACCTGAACAAGGTGGATGAGTGTAGTAAGTATGGCACATCGAAGCATGTTGTGTTCTTCCGACTGCTTCCAGAGCAAGGGCAGGTATTGAACCAGACAGCCTGCGTAAGGCCGGATCTGAAGGAGAGAAACGAAGAGAAAGGAGAAACATCAGGAACTTATCACTAGAAAATTCAATCCAACATCCCCCCAGGCAGGCTGAATCTTTCAGAAAGGAGATGGTGAAAGGTTCACCGCTTTCTGAAAGCTTGCATAATTACCGCTAAGCTGTGATTATTAGATCATATGTGATACGCAATATCTTAGAAATACTGAAAATCCAAAGAAATCTTTCTATGCATTATGCAACAAAATGGGATCAATGTCAACACTGACTGGCCCACAGGCAGCAGCACGATTATGAGGGGAAAAAAGGTAGAAAACTGACACTGAACATTATTTTGTTTCCGTGTCTACAAATGTGACTTATACCTCTGCTGCATCCCTGGAGAAAAGTAACAGCTTGACACTTTTTTCTGTGACGAATTAGATTAACTCTAAATTGAAGGAATGAATTATATCACACTTAGGAAAAAAGACCTGCACACTTCTGTAGGCACAGTCACTAGAGGTGCCAGAAAAATATCGATTCACCTCTGAATCAAGATTCTCATTTAGAAAGATTCTGAATCGATTATTGTTAATAAATGTTACTGGCTTGTGAGAATATATGCTGAAGACATGCTATGTTTCACATATACTGACACATATTCTCTTTTCTTTTTCCTACTTCATCAGACCACACACACACACACACACACACACACACACACACACACACACACACACACACACACACACACACACACACACTCTAGTCTACACTCCAGTCGACAGTCTGTTACTAAGAGTATCACTTGTGAATCGATTTGAATCAAGAATCAATTTAAATCTAGAAAAGATTCTAAATCAAATCTTAACCCCGAGAATCTGAATCGAATAGAATCGGGATTCACATCCCTAATAATTACCAAACTTTTTTATTTCAGCTAATCAAACCCGATAAACATTAGACAGCAGCTCAGATTTACAGTGAAAGGCTTACAGGGGTCTACCGACCTGCCTGTAGAGTAAATGTGTCAAGCAGCCAATTGATTTACATGCAGGAAGGGAAAATCAAATTACTGCATTAGTGCGACTAAATTCAGACTCATGAAATACAACCTAGGTCCATCTGAAGTCAAACCAAACAGGCCTGCTCCTAATCCGAGCTAAGGCACCCAGATCATGCTAGTTTTTATTTTTTATTTATTTATTTTCCCCGGAACTGCGCTGCTCTGGGCGGCTGCATGTTGGAGTAGCTCTGTCGACTATATGTAAGTTTTGCCTTTTCTTGGGCATTTTTTCTTCTAGTTTCTCAAGAAAAACTGTATTTATTTGGACACTTTACTTTTCTGTTTCTGATGCTGTGAAGCTTGGAGGATTTTTACTGCTACTTTTTTTTTAGCTTTTTTCACTTTTTGAGCATTTGTTATGATGCGTAACCATGGCAACAAGCAGGTTTACAATTGGGAGCGGCTAATTAACATTGGAAAGGTAGAAATAATACCTCAACTGAAGCCACGAATCCAAAATGAGCTAAAATGCAAGAAGCGTGGGTGCACAACGGGAGCAAAACGGAGACAGAGAAAGAGGAAAATCAAACCATTTCTTCCATCGATCATAATGGGCAATGTGAGATCACTGGCCAACAAGATGGAGGAACTTGAAGTCCTTTCAAGGACTCAGACAGAGTTTCGGCAGTTTCAGAACCGCTGGAGGAGATAATGAAAAGAAGGATTCTCCAGAGAATCAAGAAAATTATGGACAACCCTGAGCATTCTCTTCACAAGACTCTCCGACAACGGAAGAGTGTCTTCAGTCAGAGGCTTCTTCAGTTTGGCTGCAACACTGACCGCTACTGGAGATCCTTCCTGCCAACAGCCATTGTAATATACAACAACTCTTTGATGACTTGATTATTGTTATTATTCTGAGCTACTACAGCAATCAATTTCCCTCTGGGATTAATAAAGTATTTTTGAATTGAATTTGAATAAAAAACACATTTCTCTTTAAAAACAACTTGACAGCTTATCCAAGCTATGATCAACCTGGGCACTCCCCTTCCTGGAAGTGGCGAGACTGCAGATGCAATCTATTTCTCATGTGCAACACCATCAAACAGCACATTTTACATACCAAATGTTCTGTGCCACGACGTTGTCATCCATTCTTTCGGCCATTGTGAATATCCTGCTTTTATTTTGTTTACTTAGCTCCTGCCAACGTGTGCTTACGGTTTGTGTGTCACTTTAGGCTAAGCAGAAGAATGCCAACACAAAATGACGCATGATGCCACCTACCATAGCGAAGTCAAACGATAGCCTAACAGATGTGGAAACAAGTATAAAAGGCTCCCATTCTGGTATTAGCCTGATTATTGCCATAACTCAATTTAGATGCAACTGCACTGAGTGAAAAAATTCTGCTCTTTTCATAATGCACCAACTTGTCTTGTATTCCAAGTTATCTTCCAAAACGGTATTTTCCTACGGAAGATAATTTGACTTACACACTGAAGTCTGAATTAGCTCCTCCAGGGCAGTTAGACATCAACATTGGTGCAAAAATTATGTCTTGGGTGGAAATATTTCTTTTCTGTTGCATGTTACAGATCACCTCGGGTGATCATGTTTCCTTCTCCTGTCCTACAAGTCTACCTCTGATATTCCATGCATGCTATTTTTCCCCTCAATGCATCCATTAATCTCTTTGCCAGGCAGCTTAATCTTCAGCACCCGTCTCTCACATAGAGACTATCTACACTCAGCACATGTTCAAACCTACTCAGTCTTCACCTGTTTTGTACCGGAAAGAAACAGCCAGAGTAGTTTTACTCATCGGTCTTCTGGTTTATTCTGCATTATTTCTGCACAAACCTCAAGTGGCTTCAAAAATTCCATCTTTCAGTTCTTTTTAAAACACAGAAAAGGTTTATTTACCTGCAACGTTTAGTTTGCGGCTGCAAACATCATCAGGCTGACGCCGATGGTGGCGTCATTTCCTTCGTTTATCAGTGGGCAGCAGAGGACGTTGTCGCCCTCTGCTGCCCGACCTCCCCTCTCCGATGATGCAATCCCATGCGCGATCCAATGAGTAAACTCCATCGTCCCTGTTCATGGTCCCACATCCACGTCTCCTTATCTCGATAGCTTCTTTTCTCCATCTTTTGTATTTCTGTTGTTCGGTGTTTATGATCCTTGTGTTGTCCCAGTCCATTATGTGGTCTTCTCTTGTGAAGTGATCTGTTACGGCTGACTTCTTTATTGTGCTTTCTGCTTCTTCTTTTGCTGCTCTTGTGTGTTTTTGACTTGCCTCTTTCTCGCACTCTTTGGCGTCCGGTTTCTCCTATGTATGTTTTATTGCAAAGTTTGCATGGGATTTCGTAAACGACTCCACATTTAAGTCCAGCTGGTCTCTTGTCTTTCGGGTGTACTAGTCTGTTTCTAACTGTTGTGTATGGTTTTGTTGGTGTGTTTCCGGAAGTGCGCTGCTCTGGGTGGCTGCATGTTGGAGTAGCTCTGTTGACTATATGTAAGCTTTGCCTTTTTTGGGACATTTTTCTTCTAGTTTCTCAAGACAAACGGTATATTTTTGACATTTAACTTTTCTGTTTCTGGTGCTGGTAAGCTTAGAGGATTTTTACTGCTATTTTTTCACTTTTTTCACTTTTTGAGCATTTGTTATGATGCGTAACCATGGTAACAATCTGGTTGACAATCGGGAGCAGCTGATTAACATAGGAAAGGTTGAAATAATACCTCAACTTAAGTCACAAATACCAAATGAGCTAAAACGCAAGAAGTGTGGGTGCAGAGTGGGAGCAAAACTGACACAGAGAAAGAGGAAATTCAAACCATCTCTTCCATTGATCATGATGGGCAATGATAAATCAGGTGCTGGTCAGTATCAGAAGCAGGGACCTGAAAAGGCTCAACAGCCTAATAACAAAGGCTGGTTCTGCTCTGGGGACGACTGTGGAACCGCTGGAGGAGATGATGCAAAGAAGGATTCTCCAGAGAATCAAGAAAATGATGGACAACCCTGAGCATTCTCTTCACAAGACTGTCCGACAACGGAAGAGTGTCTTCAGTCAGAGGCTTCTTCAGTTTCGCTGCAACACTGACCGCTACTGGAGATCCTTCCTGCCAACAGCCATTGTAATATACAACAACTCTTTGATGACTTGATTATTATTATTATTCTGAGCTACAACAGCAATCAATTTCCCTCTGGGATTAATAAAGTATTTTTGAATTGAATTGAATTTATGTTGTGTTCTTTCATTGCTGCTCTTATTTTTTCTGTCATGCCTTTGATGTATGGTAGGGTTATCACTGGCTGTGGTTCTTGTCTTTCTGGGTTTCTGGTTCTTTGCTTTGGTTGTTTTTTTCTTTCTGTTGTTGTTTGTTGTTTTCCTTTGTTTACAACGTCCTCTGCTGCCCGCGGATAAACGAAGGAAGTGACGCCACCATCTGCGTCAGCCTGATGATGTTTGCAGCTGCAAACAAACCGTTGCAGGTAATTAAACCTTTTCTGTGTTTTAAAAAGAACTGAAAGATGGAATTTGAAACTAAACACAGCAAGAACACACCAACGAGGCTTCAAAAATGTTGTTTAAAAAATGAGTAGCTCTGATATTTGTAATAAAAAAATTCATCAAAGGACAAAAAGAAGAAATATTTGGAAGTTCCACATGAATGTCATCGCTCTTATGTAACATTTGGATTTGAAGAGTGAGGGTGAATGTAAGTGTAGCTCCTGAGCTTAAAGACAAAATTGTAGAATTATTATTGCACCAATTAAGAACTTCAAAGGTGGTGTGCCTTTTTTTAAAACACCGACTTGTGCTAACCTTCCCTTTTCCCTTTAGTGGCTGCAGACCCCACACCGAGAATTTTTATCTTTCTTTTCTGCTCAGTTACATCTTCAAGAGGGGTGGGGTATAAGCCGGGCTGGAACAGTAGTGGGGTATAAGCCGGGCTGGAACAGTAAAAACAGAAACGCGACATGCAGCCCTGAGGAGTGAGATAAAGAGTGAGAAAAACAGACCCACTAACCAACCTAGGGTGACATTTGTAAGATTGACAGCAGAAAAGGGGCTAAATCTCATATCTGTCATCGTGTTCATTTCAACTCAGGCTGCACTTGTGGTTTCGTTGCCTGTTTTTTTTCTTCTCACCTGCTGCCACTCTATGGATTTAAAATCCCCTGTGAGGGGAACTAGCATATTAATAGGAAGTGAGCTCTTCTTAGGGTCTCTAATGACCTTCTGACTCACAGTGATGCAGGGGACTGTTCTGTTCTGGTCCTGCTGAACCTGACTGCAGCCTTTGACACTGTTGGCCATCACCTGCTACTGGAGAGGCTGAGAGACTGGGTAGGCCTATCAGGATCTGCTCTGGAGTGGTTCTCCTCTTATCTTTCTGAGCGCTCCTTTTCTGTGGCCGTCTCCGAGTTTAGGTCCTCCACCACCTCTCTTACCCATGGTGTCCCACAAGGTTCTGTGCTGGGGCCTCTGCTCTTCCTCCTCTATCTGCTTCCTCTTCAGCACATCCTGAGCTCCTTCAAAGGAATCTCCTACCATCTTTATGCAGATGACATCCAACTTGCATCTCCTTCAAGCCCCATGAGATGTCTAAGCTGCAGCTGTTACACACCTGCTTAGACTCTATCAAAACCTGGATGGCTGGGAGCTTTCTTCAGCTGAATGAAGATAAGACTGAGATCCTCATCTGTGCCCCAGACAAGCTGGTTCCCAAAGTCAGAGACTCTCTTGGTCAGCTTGCTTCTCACACCAAACCTTCTTCAGGAATCTTGGCGTGACCTTTGACCCAGCTCTCACCCTGGATTCTCATGTCAGTTCTCTTGTTCGCTCTTCCTTCTTCCATCTCAAGAACGTTGCTAAGCTGAGTCCCATTCTGTCCCGCTCTGAACTTGAGACAGTTATCCACTCCTTCATCTCCTCACGCTTAGACTACTATAACTCTCTTTTCACGTGTCTGAGCAGAACCTCCCTGAACCGTCTACAGGTGGTTCAGAATGCCTGTGCTCGGCTTCTGACCAAGTCCTCCAAACACACCCACATCACCCCGCTTCTCCTCCAGCTTCACTGGCTGCCAGTCGACTTCAGGGTTCATTTCAAGATCCTGGTTCTGGTCTATAAGGCCTTACATGGACAAGCACCATCTTACATTGGTGATCTTCTTAGTCCCTACACCCCCAGCAGGCCCCTGAGGTCCAGTGATCAAAGCCTGCTGGTTGTGCAGCACCAGGCTAAAGACCAAAGGTGACAGATCATTTGCTGCTGTGGCTCCAAGACTCTGGACCTCTCTCCCCCTGAGCCTGAGATCAGTGGACTCAATGGTCTCCTTTAAAAAGCAGCCGAAGACTCACTTGTTCAAGCTGGCTTTTGTATGACCTTCTTCACCTCCCTCTCTTTATTCTGCTCTCCCCACCTATTCCACCTTCCTCAGGATCCACTGATTTCCCTCTTTCCTATTCACACTCTCTATTTCGTAACATTTTTTTATCACAATTGTCTCTTTTTGCTCATTTTAAATATATTTTTCAACATTTTCTAAATGTTCTTTTATATTTTTACATTTTTTGTTTTTGTGAAGCGCCTCGTGATTTTTATCTTGAGAGGCGCTATAGAAATGATCTTTTCTTCTTCTTCTTCTTCTACTTACTTTACACTGCCTGACACCTTTAATTCTAAGTGTTCACGTCAGGCCACCGGAGTAGGAAAAAAGGTGAATAATGATTTCAGTCTTTAGCTTTTTAAGTCTTACCTACTCCTTGTTTTAGAATCTAATCTGCATGTATCATCACAAAAAGTGGAATTACTCCATAAGATGATCCAGAAAAAAAACAGACACCCAGCAGAATGTGACCCACTTTCCAAATACCTTGGTTTCACGTCTCACCTGGATGTTTACTCTCTCGATCACACAGGAGATGACGTGAAGAACTTGCATTTTAGTGTCACACTCCGTCACCTGCTGTAACAACTGGAAGAGCAGCCCGAAGATGGACTCCAAGTACTGAGAACAGAGGAAGGTCACATTAGATAAGAAATAGAGAAAAAAAAGCACAAATGCTTCATTTTCAGATCTCTTAAAAATGTGACTTAAAATAAGCCTTTTTAAAAATTATACTCACCGGGAGGAATTGCTCTGTCCTGAACTCAAAGTCATCAACAGGTGATCATGAGTTAAGGTTTAGATTAAGGTGTTCATGCAAACAGTTCTCCTGCAGACGCTGAAACATTTATTTGCTGTGCTAAAGGTGGAATTCGAGATGTTTTTCTTGCCGTTCAACCAAGCTAATGTTTTTGCTATCTTGTGTCCTCCAGCATCGCAGGCCTCCGGTTCTGGTAGAAGCATCTCAGGGAAGATACCCGAGGAGAGGGGTGAGTGTCTTGTGACCATGTTTGCATTCAAAACCTAGCTTTTTCTGTAAAATCACTAAAGCTGCTTTAGGATGTACCTCAGGATCGTGGAAAGCACAATTATTGTTCCAAAGGGTTCGGTTTTAAATTTTTACCCCCTTCTTGGCTCTCAATCTGCCAAATGCCCAAGCATTTGACGTTTTTATTGCTTCGCTTTCTGTTCAGCTGCCTCGTGCCAAGAATGCGTGATTAATGCACATGGAAAGGTATGCACAGAGGGAGGGGTGTCAAAGGGAAGTTTGATGGATGGATGATGATCCAGTCATTTAAAATGAGACTAGGGCTGCACAGTGACAAAGTGGTTAGCGCCGTTGCCTTGCAGCAAGACGGTCCTGGGTTCAAATCCCAACCTGGGGTCTTTCTGCATGGAGTTTGCATGTTCTCCCTGTGCATGTGTGGGTTATCTCAGCATACTCCGGCTTCCTCCGAAAACAGGGCTGTCCGCTCGATTGTTTTCTCTAAATTTGTCCTCAGGTGTGTGTGTGTGGTTGTTTGTCCTGTGTGCTTCTGTGTTGCCCTGCGATGGACTGGCAACCTGTCCAGGGTGTAACCCCACCTGCTTGCCCAGAAATAGCTGGAGATTGGCACCAGCCCCCCGTGATCCTGCGTGGACAAGCGGGTATAGAAAACGGATGGATAGATAGAATAAGACATTCGATATTATTGGATGAGCTTTTTCACATTTCAGAGGCTATTAAACTGATTCCTTTTGTTGACAAAACCTTTTGATTTGTTGGTTGCCACATGAGAAAAGCATGTCAAGCAACGTGGCAATAAATGCTCCAGAAAAACATCACCCACCCCACCTTTTACAATCTAGTGAGCTTTCAAAAACAAAAAACCAAAACCCAAAAGGATATTCAATTTTAGTGTCGTAGCTGTTTCAATCCGCACCTGTGAAGGAAAAGAAAAAATAAAAAGGTTTATTTTAAAAAGCTATAAAACAGTGTGTTTATCATGGTACATAAAGATATTCACTAAAGAGCTACAGAAGATAAATATGTAAGGAGGCCATTTTTTGAGTTTGTTAGGAACTAAGCTAAGGAAAAGACTGAATTTAAATATTTTCAGAGGTAAAACATCAGAAGAATGCAGTAGCTGCACAACGGAATAAAAAGAAAGTAAATAACATTATTCCCTTCCGTCAAACTTGCTCAGACCCTAGGATCCTTTAACAACAGGTTCTAAAACAAACCTCAGCATTGTTTGAAAACAGCTTCTGAAACCTGAACCTTTTCTGACAAACACCACAGAATCGTACTGTCAGGAAGAGAAAAATATTAAGAAAGAAGTCAAACATTTACAGTTTATTTTTCAAATGGCGTTGCATTTACAGATAATTGTAATGGTGAATTTTTGTGTCTTTAAAAATAAAATATTACTTATTACTCATAACACTTAAAAAAGATTTCCCAAATCAAAACTGCAGCATGACATTCATACAACACAAGCAGAGTTAGAGCCACGGGGTGGATTTTTCCACCAAGGTCGGCATTCAGAACGGGGAGAGGAGATTAGGGAAAGTAAATGAGTGCAGAGAAAGGTGAGGAGCTGGGAACTCAATTACTGCTGATCCTTTCAAGCACTAAATGTGTGCATCTCAATGGTAAATTAGTGGGCATCATTTCTGTATGTGCGAGTAGCAGCAGAAACAAATGTTATCCTGCGAAATCTTTAAGAGTGCACAAGCACTGCAATGCAATTTTACTCCAAATATAACTAATGTGTAATTGACCAGTGACTTGGAGCGCAAATGTCATAGATCAAAACCAGAAACAATCTCTGTATGAATTATTCATACGCCCATTCTGCAACCAGAGCGTCGTATTGCAGGTTTTAATTATTGACAATGCACACAGTCCTATTCCATACTTTTCAACTTTAGGTTTCCTCTGGGGTTGTCGGTGCAGCTTCCAAATCCATGCATTAAGTTTTACCACCATCATGATTACTCCTATGATCACTACTTATTTCTAATCCTTCAACAACCCCATACTTTCATTCTTTGCGCTACTGGCAGCAGGCCAGAGCAGCTGCTACTGACAGCAGAGTTGTCTTTTTCTCAGTCCTCATTAAAGCGGTGGTCGCCTTCGCTGGGCTGAGGGACTTGCAAGGTCTAATCACATTGCAGATGGCATCTGCTATGACCTCCACCCACCCACCCCCAGAATTGGACTTCAATTAATAATACTACACCAATAATTTCAGATAGAATTTAGAACACTCCAGGGATGTGCTGAGTGAGAAGATGCAGATGGCCTCACAAAACAGTTAGCATCCAAGCTATGTCGACGCCAAATTATTTATTTTATTGAGTAAAAGAACTATAACCCCAAGAGTCTGTATACGAACCTTATGGCCCTTTATAGTTGTGCTTGTTCAAAAGGCACTAAGTATTGGTCTTGGTTTTGATATTCATTCATCTTCATCTTGACCTCAGTTTAGTTGGGGTTGCCTTTAGCACAAATTTTGTTTTAGTGTTTTTGTCTGGGTTTTGGTGTAGAATTGACAAGGGCTGTAGAACCTGACTGCCTTACTAAATTTATATTTTAAGAATGCAGTTGTCCCAAGAGCCTGGATACTCACGATAGTCACCCCAATTTGTAAAGATGGAGACAAATCCAACATGTTACAGACCAATCAGTGTGCTGGAGCAGAATTTTTGGATCTCAGCTATCATGGCTAAAATCAGATAGGTCTACAATGCAGTGCAAACATTTAAGTAAGTAAGTAAGTAAACATTGAAGGAAGTAAGTAAGTAAACATTGAAGGAAGGAAGTAAGTAAGTAAGTAAGTAAGTAAGTAAGTAAGGAAGGAAGGAAGGAAGGAAGGAAGGAAGGAAGGAAGGAAGGAAGGAAGGAAGGAAGGAAGGAAGGAAGGAAGGAAGGAAGGAAGGAAGGAAGGAAGGAAGGAAGGAAGGAAGGAAGGAAGGAAGGAAGGAAGGAAGGAAGGAAGGAAGGAAGGAAGGAAGGAAGGAAGGAAGGAAGGAAGGAAGGAAGGAAGGAAGGAAGGAAGGAAGGAAGGAAGGAAGGAAGGAAGGAAGGAAGGAAGGAAGGAAGGAAGGAAGGAAGGAAGGAAGGAAGGAAGGAAGGAAGGAAGGAAGGAAGGAAGGAAGGAAGGAAGGAAGGAAGGAAGGAAGGAAGGAAGGAAGGAAGGAAGGAAGGAAGGAAGGAAGGAAGGAAGGAAGGAAGGAAGAAAGAAAGAAAGAAAGAAAGAAAGAAAGAAAGAAAGAAAGAAAGAAAGAAAGAAAGAAAGAAAGAAAGAAAGAAAAGAAAAGAAAAGAAAGAAAGAAACAAAAGAAAGAAAGAAACAAAAGAAAGAAAGAAAGAAAGAAAGAAAGAAAAAAGAAAGAAAGAAAGAAAAAAGAGAAAGAAAGAAAAAAGAGAAAGAAAGAAAAAAGAAAAAAAGAGAAAGAAAGAAAGAAAGAAAAAATGAAAAAAGAAAGAGAGAAAGAAAGAAAGAGCGAAAAAGTGAAAGAAAGAAAGTAAGAGAGAGTAAGAAAGAAAGAGAAAGAATGAGAGAAAGAAAGAAAGAGAGAAAGAGAAAGAAAGAAAGAAAGAAAGAGCGAAAGAAAAGAAAGAGAGAAAAAAGAGAGTAAGAAAGAAAGAGAGAAAGAGAAAGAAAGAAAGAAAAAAGAAAGAAAGAAAGAGTGAAAGAGCAAAAGAAAGAGCAAAAGAAAGAAAGAGAGAATGAAAGAGAGAAAGAAAGAAAGAAAGAGACAAAAGAAAGAAAGAAAGAAAGAAAATATGTAAAAAAAAATTTTTTAAATAATAATGTAAAGAAAGGGAGAGACAAAATGGATAGGAAAGAGGGAAACCAGTGAATAATAAAGTAAGGTTTGAAATCTAATTATTTAATCTGTAACATTGCTGTGAGATTAAACACAAGTGCAGACATTTACATTCCGGTCAAGCAACAAGAAGCAGAGTAATGCAACATACATCCTGATAATGAAGTGGATGGAGTGATAGAAGGTGGTTTTCCCCATTAGCATCATTAAAAGTTTATAATCAATAATTCATTATGTCCAAGAGTATCAAACTGGCCAGGGCAATATTGACCTAAGGCCACAACGTGATTGGTGAGCTGGACAGTGATGCAAGAGCAAGCTTGTGTGAAGAAAAAGCACTGAAACTCTAAAAGCTGTAATTACCCTCATAAAACTTGGAGCTTTGTCCGATTTATAGCATGAGTACTCCCTATAGTCATTTAGCTTCACTGAAGGACAAAATGGCAGTAAATGGAGCATCTAGTAATTGAATATCACTGGTCAAATTTAAATATGCCCAATGGATTGAAATTTTCTAATACATTTGAGTTGATGAACTAAATAAGTATGATTGTAAATCATGAATATAAGGTCTGTACATAAAACTGTGATAGTCTATGTCACCATCTGCCATTAGGGTGACCAGATGTCCCGCTTTGTGCGGGACGGTCCCGCATTTTCATTACTTTTCACGTGTCCTAAATAGAGACTCATGTCCTGCATTATTGACAGTTTCCCGTTTCGAGTTTCAATCTTATAAAAGAAACTGTGGACAAAATCTGCCTGTCAATCAAACGGAGGCGGGACTTTATCGCAGATTCGGAGCGCGTGTGGAGCGCGCCGGAACCACCAAAACAAGCGTGGGTGAGCACGGAGGAGAAAATGCTGTAAACTCGTGAATTAAACGTGTTCAGAGACACTCGACAGAGTCTTTGTTGTTTCTGAGTCATTCTTTCGCGTCTCGGTGCGGCGTCTGATATGAAGAGGTCAAAAGCAGGTTTTCCAGTAATTAGACAGGTCCGTGATAAACACAATGGAGGCTCTAACACAGACAAGGTGCTGCGGTTTCAGATACCTGCATACATGCCGAGCCCCTTAAAGCAGTGAAGAAATAATGACAGAATAAATGGAAGCTATCATCACTTATTCCCAGAAATTTGAGGCAAAAAGTAACTAAGAAACTATTAGATTAGATCTGAATTTTTTTAGAGATTAGAATCTGATGTTTATTCTCACCTAAATTTAGAAGAGATTTGTTGTCATGTTTAAAAAAATGTTTTGTTTCTGAATTATGAAAAAAACAGCAAAAAGTATGGATATTTTTTCTATGAGATGCTGATTTTAGTGGAAAACGAATTAAAAACAAACATATGTAAATAGATCTAAAAAATATTACTGGTACTTTTACTGTCATTCTGTTGTGGAAAATATTCAATGAAAACTCTGAAAAGCTGCTTAAACCTGCATGTTTTTATTATTGTGGGCCTATCTATGTTATTAAAATGATCAGAGCCACTACAGAAGGCCCAAAGAGCCTGAGTTATGCTGTGGTAACTTGAGAGGAACTGTGAAATAGAAAAGCTTTTGCTTTCGTTGAATTCAAATAAAATATATACAAGAAATATATGATAATAATAATAATAATTTTACATATATGTAACAGCGATGTTGGGGCTAAAAGGCAGAATATATGTTTTGTTTGTTTGATTTCTTCTCATTTTAACTTCCCGTTGTAACATTGAGAAGTCTCTGTCCCACATTTGGCAAATTGGGATCTGGTCACCCTATCTTCCATTTGTCTTATTTCTTGACTGAAACTTCCCAATCCACCTTTGCACTTACTTACAACCTCAGTTAACAAGAAAGTATGGAATGTTGCCATCTAAATGGTCCCCAGAGATTCATTAAAGCACGCAAAACAAGGTATCTACCCAGTATGTTACTACTGGCATCAAGAAATTATGAGTCAAAGATACAAATACGGTTCTTTTAATTACGCTTTGTTCCATTACACTTATAGAATTTGAGTTTAGTGTTAGTGTGGGTTCAGCCTTACGAGAGCCATTATCCTAATTACGTTGTAATCCCAGCTGCAGGGCAATTTAAACGGTTTCCAGAGAGAGAA